CGCCTACTTCTACCTATACTAGGCTAATTTACATAAATCGAGTACGCGAACCAACCGTGCCTGAATTAAATCCTTGCAGTCTTCCTATCAAATTTAATTAAAGCGTACACAGGATGTCAGAAACATAAACCACACCTTGCATTGTTCATTCTACATTTCTTAACCCTACTATCCATCAGTTTGTCATAAATGTACAGTGATTGCTTGAATTTGAATTCAAATGAATATGTTTTAATATAATATTTTTAATATTAGAATTATTATTACACCCTCAGATTACAAATATGTATTTATATGTAGATATTATATATCAATACGTAAATGTTACATATAAGGAAATTTATTATTAATATTTTATGTACATAATATTAATGTTAATATTAATTTTAATACTAATATAATATTAGAAAGAATTTTTTAAGTATAAAGATTAAGCAGTTTTAAACTCTGAATGGCAGGATTAAGTGTAAATCTGTTGTATTCTTTGCGCAGGCATTTACTTCTATTCTCCTCATAGTAAAAACATGCAAAATTTACTACCTCAAAGGAATCTCAAGCGCGTTTTAAAGCGCATCTCAACGAGAAATCCACCTGGGTGTGTACCTGACAGTCCAATGTAAGTAAAGGAGTACCAGAACACGAGGGCGTTGAAGAAAGACACGGTCGGCACGAGGCGACAGTTCTGCTGCGAACAAAATGCAATACGGTGCAAAATAAGGAAATTCAATAATTCTTTCAATATCTTTGAAGAGAAAATATTCGGTTAGCGTTCATATTCATTCGAGAATTCTTCCCGCTATATAAAGAAAAATAAAGAAGAAAAATCGGTGATACTACAAATGGACAGTGCTTTCACGAAAACAGAGATAAGCACTAACTCCACTTTCCTACAAACGGTCAATAAGTTTACCCTAAAACATTGCTATGTCGTATACGAGCAACATTTTTCTTACGCACGAAAAACAACCGGAAACGAAGGCTACTAAATTTTACAACGTTCTTTAACTCTAGAAAGCTGTCGCTATTGAATAATACAGAGCATGGTATATGTCAGGTATAGATTCTTTGTACGTAAATTTTACGTATAAAGAAATTAATTTAATTAATGTATTGTAATATAAAATTTTTTATACATTTCACATTTTTTATGATAAAATATCAACATTTTTGTAAAAAAAGAAAAAACACACAAGTAATCTAATTATTAACTTAATGGAAGAGGAAAAAGGCACATGCACTATCAAGTTAATTTTTGAAATACAATAATATGAAATATGTTAGTTCAATGTGTATTTTTTCATAAAACTTAAATAAAATATATAACATAAAACTACATATAAAAATCACTTATCACTCTTTATTATAATACTAATTAGAATAGAACTAATTAGAATAGAACCTTTTCGTTTATTTTTTGCGATGTTTATGTCGTTGAATATACTGATTATTTAAAGATTGTGCTTTCATGACCGGATAATGTAATTATAAGCACGTCACTGGATTGAAATATTGTTTGCTATTGTAAATTTTCATATTATTATTTAAAGTTGAAATTGACGGAATAGCCCCCACTTTATCTTATCAAGAATAGTTTAATTTTTAAAAATTTGTCTTCGTTTATCCTAACTTTTCGCCGAGGGGGTAACCACTATCTGAAATATTGTCCCACAGATTACATGATTTCATTTAATTTTATATAATTTTATTTGATGACAAATAATTTTTCCTCACTATACGGTCATTTGGTAAAATAAACGATTTTATCTAATATTACACAATTATTTCTCGTAATTATCGGATATTATATATCGAAATTTTATATAAATTTTATAATGATTTCAGGGACTCCGTCCCACAATTATTAAGTGATTACCCCTTCGCTTTTCGCAGATTGGACCACATAATTCAGCGCTTAATGACCTCACGTCTATGTAAAATTTATCTCTCGATAGAGTTATTAATACAGACTATCAAAATACTCTATAGATTTTAAAACAAGAGTAACTGATGTTATCGTTATTTGGAAACAAGAATGGGCAAATGTTCTAGACTAATAAATAAAATAATACAGAACTGTTGTTCTTGTCATCATCGTGTCATACGCAGTACATCAGTTTCATTCACGGCTGAGACATATCGATATTGCTAAACCGTCGTTATTTACCATGGTCGGCTGCAACGACACTTGTATGCCTGCTGACGACCGTGGTCGCTCCATTGACGACGAAGCTCAATGAAGTTACTCAACCATCGGTAATTCGATTTAGGTGGCACGTTACTATTCCAAATTTCCTCCTCGACGCACTGACACGATCCGAGACAAGCGCCCGTCGCGGCGGTTCCGGTGAGTCGCAAACCACCACAAGCATCGCGATTCAGGCATCCTACATTACTTTGGCAATTACACGAAGATATGCGCGCTTCACAACTGCTTTGGCCTGATGCACAATTGTTTCCTGCATCAAAATATGCAAGCTAAAAGCCGTTACATTCTTGGGACATATTATATAAGGTACGAATTAAGAGGTATTAAAAGAGGAACCAAAATACTTTCAATAAATTAATACGAATACGAAGCCTCTATAACAGTCTAGTTTAGATCTTTAATTGCTTATATATAATTTTGCGTGAATTTATTAATACATTCACGAAATTATATGTAAGCAATTAAAGGTCCAAGCTAGACTGTTATAGAGGCTTCGTATTCATATTAGTTATGTTCTTACATTAACTTCCAATAAATTTTTAATATATCAGTATTTTGTTGTTACAAAAACAAATACATACATTTATTTATAAATTTAGTTACAAAATAAATCTCTTTGAAGAGATTTTTCTTATACAAGTTGCACAGTTTTCAAATAATATATTTATTAAGGTGAATGAGACAATGCGGTCTAAGCTGGATCATGGGTGCTCCTAAATAATTGCGTGTGAATTTATATACTACGTATGTAATTCTTCGATTGCGCGACGAAATGTTTTTCAGACTTGAAACGCAACACTAATAAACTATACCGCAGTAATATCACGAGTTAAATTGACTAACAATTTAACAATTATTGATGCTGTTTACGCATCTTATATCGATCTTACTAATGCTGAATAACCTATTAAAAACTGTAAAAAATTAATTTTTTATTGCGAAAAATATTATCTCGGTCGGGAGTCGAACCCGGATATCTCTGGCATTTCGTGCGAGAGAGTAATATATTTATTTCTTACAAACTTGTATATAATAACTAATAACTTTTATAATAATTAAAAATTATAATTCTTTATAAAATAAAATTCGGTAAAATGTAATTAAACCAGTATTAATACAATGATTATTAATGAAATTTATTATAATATTTCTCTTTGTAAAAGATAGTAACATCAAATTTTATGAATTTTAATGAAAATTGATAAAAGATAATAAAATATTTAATTACATATACATATAAAAAATATGGTTATTTTAACTTCAAAACCGTGAAATTGCTATCATTGTTTTTATGTGTAATTATTCAATGCATACTAACCACAGCAACCGGTATTAGAACATCGTTTGTTACCATCAATTTCATTACGGAAGGACATATTGATTTTTCTTCGAGACGAAATCTAAGTTTTCAAAAGTGGGAACTTCGCGTAAATATGCCATTTACGGTCTGAGACAGATAATACAATCGACAGAAGCATTTATGCACAGTTTTGGTTTACATTTTTGAATAATCTGTTTTTGGTTTATCAATTTATCATTGACAAAGTGTGTTTCAACATGTGACTGAAAATGTGAAGATTAGCGAAAATCCATTGTGAGAGAGATACAAAAATATCTATTTATCAATTCTTTAATTTTGTTGTCATAGAAACAAAATGCATAATTCTTTGGCTACGATTACACCGTGAATTTAGGCCGCGGCCTATACTCTAAATTCGACTTAAATTATTTAGATCCCTCACTTGAAAAATGACCTGGCCTGGCTGTAGGCCAGGGCCCATATTCTCATCTACTATGTCGATAATTAACGATAGTCAATGGCAAGGACTGTTCTAGGAGAAAAGTGCCAATAATTTTCAAAAAAGCAAGCACTCTAGCAGGAAAAACAAGCATCGTGTGCCGATCTTTAATTAAAATATTTTTACAGTATAATATTTATACAATATTTATATAATTTTATATTTTCTTATTTTTTTTCATTTTGCAACGCATTATAATTATAAATCTATTTTTTTTTAGTTTTTTACATTTAAATTTTAATTTGCTGTTCATACAAATATAAACCTAGAGTAGAGTCCTAGATATCAGAGAAGCGCAACCGGCTTAAGTCAATATCACAAAACTACTAATGCCTGTTTCTGCCACCAATGCAGATTAACTTTAATCTCGGTTTAACTTACTGTTAATCTTTTTCTAATTTTTAGAATTAGAAAAAGATGAAGAGCAAATTGAACCAAGATTAATATTAATCTGCATTGGTGTGGAAATGAGCATAAGAGAAAAGTATTAAAAATGGCGTCGTTTGCAGACAAACTATGAAATCCACCAATCGTCTATTAGTCAGCCATTTTTAGTACCAATGAATGTCATGATTGGCTGACAGTCACGCCAATCAGGACGCGTAATGCCGGTTCTACATTAGTTCAAGTCGATCGCAAGTTTGTTGCGACAGCCAATCTGAAGCGTTGATTTCAAAATGCAAGCTTGAGATTGGCTGTCGCAACGAACTTGCGATCGACTTGCAACTAATGTAGAACCAGCTTAACATCGGTTGCGCATCTCTGATATCTGGGACTCTAGTTTTATCCTATTTCTGGAGTATTTCCGAGAATTTGGTATATTCTTTTAAGCCTGTGTCACACTACGGATTGTGGACGCGAATCGGATTGAGATTGCGGATCGCGCATCGATATTCAGCAAATCAAAACAAAGCAGCTTTATCTTGATTGGTTGAATTCCGATGTGCGATCCGCAATCTCAATCCGCGTCCACAGTCCGTAGTGTAACACGGGCTTTTCGATCAGCCGTGTCGCAGGTGCTCCGCAACAGTTGAGTCTGCTGAACGCGACCATTGTGGTTTGTTGTGGTTTACTAGCCGAAAAAAAAAAACAACGTGCCAGCATTATGACAATTCACAACTTGTACATTTTTTCAAAAACCGGCACGTTGCTATATTACGCTGAATGGAACAGATTAAATAAGTCGGGAATAACAAAAGAGGAGGTAATCGTAGTTGTTCATATAATTGTTGTATGTCGATTAGAAGAACTGGTAATTATATAGAATACCTCCACCACCTCTGATTGTGATAGAAATAGACTTATTCGACGTGTTTTCACTCAAAACGAAAGAATCTGGCGGAAAAATGCGGCGGTCGATCTTGTGAACCGAGTTATTAAGCGTTAAAGTTGACAACTACTCAGGTTAGGAAAGCTGTCATTCCTACTCGATATGAGCGCTATAAATATTTGTTCACATTAAATAGATGTTTACGCTTTTTTTCATACAAGCATGCGTTGTAATGAACTGTCGTTATACGCATGTATGCAATTAAATTCACTGTTTTAAAAATACAAAAGTACTGCTTCAAAATCACAAATCAGTACTTTAAAAACACAAATTCTTTGCGTAAACAGTGAAAGTAAAGTATGTACACTCCAGTTTGGATATATTACTCTGAGTAGCATTAAAATGTACTTGAACGGAATTTTTTGCTTCTATAGCATTTTCTTTTATTCTTACCGCATTCATTATCCCATTAGGTATACAGAAAATGCATATATGCCTAGGTCTAAATGTACCAGAGAGGTAAAATAATTAAATTTGAGTAGTGTGCATATTTATGTAAACACTTGAAAAGAGTTCTTCGCGTGTACTCAAATTTCTGTAAGTAGCTATTTGTGTTATATATACTGATCCTCTTGAGAAGTGGTAACTTTTGGGTATCCTGAACGAGTTCGGTCAACCAGACTACTGGATGTCTTGTAGCGCGCTATGGTAGTTTGCTCGAATAAGCCTAATTTTATCACAATCGGAGGTGATGGTGATATTCTATATAATTACCCAAGTTTGGTCAAAAATATTACATATCAATTTTTATTTTGTCTGAAATTCTCTTCAAATTCTTGCATTGGTTACCAGCATTAGTTACTAAACGTAAGTGTAAAGGATTTTTGAAACGAAGAAACTAATGTATAAAAAAAATAAACTTATAAACTGAAACTTAAGATGTCTAATATTTTTTACCAAGGATTTACACATATTAAACTCTCTATTTATTCACCTTTTGTGATAATAATTGAGAAAAAAACGATATACTGAGAAATAGATATAAAGTTAAGAAATTGAAACTCTTAAGGTGCGTTTTGTTTTGCGCATGATGCATCAATTGTCCTTGTTTAACATTTGGTGAAGAGCAAAGATAAACAATGCATTATGCGTATCATGCAAGAAACGGAACGCACTTTTAGATACACTTTAAATTAAACAAATATTATATAGATTTTAGCTATACATATTTTTAAAAAGGAAGGAATCTTGTTGTAATAAACAGTATTATCAGAAGTATATTTACAATTTAGGAGGCAAAATTAATGTATGGAATGTTGTTTTCCATAAAATCATTTGTAAGTAAAATCTCTCCGTTGGATCCTAAGGAGGGGTTTCTGTATTACAAGACGAGCAAATATACTCTTCACTACTTTGAAACACCTTCAGGTCTCAAGTTTGTTTTGAATACTGATAATGCAAGTCAGAATGCCAGAGAATTATTACAGCAATTGTATAGAGAAGTAAGATCATACACCTGTTTCCTTTAATAGAAGTGCAGGTGTATGTACGCTATGTAATCCTATATTTTTACTTTAGGTCTACCTGGAATATGTAGTGAAGAATCCACTCTGTCAATTAAATGAACCTATACAAAGTGAATTGTTCAAAATAAAGGTAGATGAATTATTTAAAAAATCTCCTCTATTTCTAAGTCGTTCATTGTAGATCAACAAAAAATATAAAATTTTTATACTACATAAGAAACGAGTTAAGTTTTTTTAACAATGAATAAATACCAAATATTATGTAACATATTTTAAATATTCAAGAGTTTCTATTGCTTTATCAAATGACATTTCAATATTAATTTATATGAATATTAATTTCAAACGCAGTCTTGTCTCAGTTGTAATTTCTTACAGCAATTTATTTTACTTCCCAGAGAAATATATATACTTGTTACAATGACATGTAAAATGATAATAGTGCATATTTAAAGATACTTCTGTGCTGTACATATTAATGACAGGCAAGTACAGGCAAATTAAATTAATACAGAACCATATATTATTTGTAGATGCCAGTATTCTAAACTTACTAAGTAATCATTTTAATTATAATAATATTTGCGGGTTTTTTTTATATAATAAAGGTAGTGCAAATAGGCATTTGGAGAGTTATATTTTAGCATCTTAAGTAATATTGTTATTACTATAATTATATACTGAAACCTCTCTCTCAAAATAGCGCAAAAAATTCCTTCTGCACTATAAGTGACATGACTGAAAGATAGTAGTAGCCTAAAATCTTAAATTTTATTGTTTTGAAGTGAAGTAGGAGCAACATCGATATAGCGTTCAGATCTTCGAATCGCGCGCTATTATGAGATTTCAATATATATGCTATCATATCACATTTCAATTATTTCAATTACAGAAAAATTTTGTTAAATGATAAAAATGTAGCGCAAATACTATATATTATACATAATTAGGAAACATATTGTATATATTATTTGTAAGAAATAGCTAGAAACTATATAATTATTCACAGTTTAAAATTATTTCATTTGCACAGGTTAATACAAAATTTTTATAAGAACATAGACTAAGAATTAATATTTATATCTCGAAACAAGAATTGAAAATAATATATTGATAAGATATTTAACGAAGATATTTATATTCAAAAAATTTAATGATTTTGTATTAAGTTTTAAAAAATGTGAGAATTTGATTACTTAATTTTTCGAATCAATAATCGACAAAGTGTATTTACTTTGTTACTTCTATATGCTTTCAAATATGTTAATGATTTCGAATAAACACGTTTATGTAAATTTTATTTAAATATAACTAGTACTGTTTGTATATGTATAAAGAAGGTGCGGCAGTTTGTGTAGTTCAATTCGGTTTTGTTTTTCCTATATATGCGTATACAAAGTAATTTTTTTTTAAACTATTGATTAATACATTTTATTATTCTTTATTTTATATAAGTAAAATATTTTAGAATTAAAATAACTAATATACCTTTAAATAAAATTCTTTTTATAAAATCAATATGCATGCACATTTAAATCTTTTGTAAAATTATGGATAAAAAGTTACAAAAAAAGAAATGAATTGATAAAATACTTCATAAGGGTCTCTTTCACTAACCTCGATTAAATTAACTAACGGTTACATGAGTCCGCTGAACGTATCCCATGTAACCATTGGTTAACTTAACCGAGGTTGATGAAAGAGAACCCTAAGTGTAGTTTTTTTAATTATTTAATATTTAATCACATTGGTTGCGTGCAGCAGAAATTAATACTATTAGTGCATCAAGCTGCACTTTTAAAATGTTTGAAAGTGCAATTTTAATTTTATTGAATGTTCCTGAAATTATAATAAGCGTAGTGTATTACGAAATAAAATTGTAAAATATAGTAGCAGCTTTTTAAACTAATTCTGGTAATTTTGTTGTTAGAATTTAAAAGAATTTTTTATTATAACCAATAATACTGTGGCGGCCCGCCACCAGAGGTCTAGAAAGGAAAAGACTCAAAGGAAGAGACTCACGCCAATTCTCGTATGTACTCGAGATACGTATTCATATAGCACCTTGCTCTAAGACACCTCCAGGCGTCTAAGGCAGGCTCCCACTACAATGCCTTACTGATGAGTCCAGTAGTGGGGGCCGGGACGAAACGTGGATGACAACAATATTTTCGCATAGACTACCACACGGAGCCAAAATACTAATCGGAATGTTTCGACTTTACAAAGTCATCATCAACCGCACAAATCCCAATCTAATTAATAATTTAACATGTCAAAGACGCATGATTAACATTCCAAAATTATACTATTGCAATTCTTAACGATCTACAAAATTAACATGTCGCAAGATTTATTATACGTTAAACAACTAATTGCTCTAATGTTGAATTGTAGTCAATTTACTTGAAAGATGAGATAAAACTGCTGCAATTCATTCTTCGTTTTTCGGCGAGAAAGGTTAGTCCAAATAAGAAATTTCCAGTCAATTAGTCAAAAATAAAATCACATAGAGCAATTATTTGGTTTTTCTTATTTGGACTAACCTTTCTCGCCGAAAAACGAAGAATGGATTACAGCAGTTTTATCTCATCTTTGAAGTAAATTGACTACAGTTCAACATTAGAGCAATTAGTTGTTTAACGTATAATACATCTTGCGACATGTTAATATTGTAGATCGTTAAGAATTGCAATAGTATAATTTTTGAATGTTAATCATGCGTCTTTGACATGTTAAATTATTAATTAGATTGGGGTTTGTGTGGCTGATGATGACTTTATAAAGTCGAAACGTTCCGATTAGTATGTTTGCCTCTGTTTTTAAACAAGTTTTTAATGCAAAAAACAGCGGCTTTTAATGCAACCCCCTAATATTATTGGTTATAATAAAAAATTGTATTTTATAATAGAATTTTAAATTTTAATAACAAATATAGCTCATTGTTTTGTGACCCGGGAGGTATACTTATTTAAAAAAAAAATTTTAATTCTGGTAAATATAAAAAATATTACATTTATTGTTATTATATAATTACTATCATTATATTTATTTTACCGACAATTATTTTCAAATTCTTGTAATTAAAATGTTCTTGTAACTTGTACTGTTTGATAACTCAAATCACTAAACTGCAAATTTTTTAAATTTCTTTTGATAAATGCTTATGAATTTACAACATGTTTGTTAAACATTTGACATTTTTTCTAGCAAATTGAAAATACGCTGTCCATCCTAAACAGCGTTAGTGAATATTAATAATGTCAATTATATAAAGGTTAAAGTAACTATTATTTGTATTTAGTTGCCTTAATTGTATAGTTTTATTTGTATAGCATTGATTTTTGCTGAACAACAATTTTTAATATGTTTAAAAAAATTATGATTGCTGAGCAACGTGTTTGAAAATAATAAACCGCTGTCACACATTCAATAGAAAATCTTACAGCAGTTGCAAAGCTGCTATTTCTGCTGAACGCAACCATTGGTATTGGTGGTCAACTATTTCATATGAACTGACAAATGCAAAATAACAAAAACCACAATTGTTATTTTGTTAAATTAAACAAATTTACAGGATGATTTTTAAATGAATTTATAATAGATTTTATACATACATACATACATATATATCTAAAATATATAATTTTATGTATATTTATAAGTTATATATATTTAAGTTATATATATA